TGTTTTTTTGAGGTTGAGCCACGGCCAGCTGAGGGCTGCCCGAATTGCAGCTGTCGTCGTTATCATCGACGTCGTCGCTGTCGTCGTGGGCTTGCCATTTCGCTGGATGATTGGTGAGGGTATGCAGCGGAGTCTACAGAATCTAAAATGCACTTTGGAATCAGATGGCATCGATAAATCCTCGCTGAATTAAGACCCCTTGCACAGATAGATTTCAACGTGAAGCAGCTATTAATACCATCTAGTTTTCGTTTCATATTATTATCAGCTTAAGTGGCACTTCGATGTATTTCATTCTATAATTCCCTTTGCCCAATGACAGCTCAGATTATGATAAGCGCATATGTGAATTGATAACGGCAACTGCGTCACTTTCGCGCACCGCCTCGCGCCATTCATCAATAGCTTTCTTATCGTCACTCAATTAGAGTAGCATAATTTGATAAGAGTATATTCATTAGTAATTGGTCTTGCATGAGGTGCGCAAAAGCTGACCAACTGCGGGGGTTTATAAATAGCCAGCGAGATAATCTAGTAACGAATTAAAATTATATATTGGGGGATTATTGGACTATTTCAAGGCCAAATCGATTGATAATGATTGTTTATTGAATTGGATATTTAGATACAACGTACAATTTGAAGGCTAACTAACACTTCCCTGTTCAATTTAATAGCTATGGAATATATTTTAGTTAAGCCGTACTCGATTTTACTTTTTTTTTTTTCTTGTAATAAAATCGATTAGTGTGGATCATAGAAAAGTAAGAAAATGGTATGAAACAAATATGTATTAAGTGTTAAACGTAGGCGTATTCTAGCTAAAGTCCTTTTAAAGTTATATACTTAAGCATTCGATTAATATCGATAAGAAAATATAATCAAAGGACACATCTATTATCATACTTAGTTTACTCTCATGGGCTTTATACCATGCACAGACATAATAACATATAAATCGATAAATATCGAACACTAGCTTATATATATGGCATATTTTGTAGAGTATATAGAAATTTTGGCTTGCTGCTGTTTATGTGCATTCATAAAGAATTTTTATTTAGTTTGCACGCTGCGGTTGAAAACTCGTTTTCAAAAAATCGACAGCGAAAAGTAAAAAAAGAGTGAAAGACTATGGCAAGTTTATTTATGCTTCGCGTGTCTGCTGTGAATTAGTGCCAAATTTGATTATCTATGGCCACACATATAGACATATAAATATACACAGAAACATACACACACACACACACACACATACACACACATACAGAGAAGCACGCCTAAATATAAGTCACGATGATTTTGCTGACTGCTGACAGTCGTTGTAGTGGGTGTTGCTCATATTTTTGTTGTTGTTGCTTTCATCTATTTTCCTAACGCCCCTATTAAATTGATTACTTTAATCAATTCAAATATTTATGGCCTTATTTTTTAATTTCTCATATGAGCAGTTTAACGTAAAACGTAAAAAAAAGTAAATGGAAAAGCCATTTGAAAATGTCATATTCATTTTCATTTTCATTTTTATTTAATAACTTCTGGCTTTAAAATTGTGGCTCTGCTTGGCGCACCTTTAATTGCGTGTAGCCATCGACAGCTACAGATTTTAATGCCATCAGTAACATGCCAAAGAGTAATTAGTGAGCAGCTCTCAGCGCCGGGAGGGGGCGCAGCTGTGAACTAGTTCAAGGATTTGCTGGAAGCACAAAATTTTATCAGTTTTCATTTTTGCTGCTAAAAATCTCAATTTATTAAGCTGTGAAAAATCTGTGTTTAGAAGCTACAAAGAAGTTGCGTTAAAGCTCGAATTTTCATTAAATACTTGTAGCTAAGTACTTAAGCACTTGCAGTGCTCAGCATACAGTGAAGCTTCCGTAATGTGCTAGCTTTTGATTTACCTATAAATAATATTGAAATAATATATAATATTGAAATAATGTATAATATTCCTCTTGACTTTTTGTGGCAATTATTACCAGACCATGGCACATAGCGAGCGAGTACTGTACATGTAGGGGCTGCTGCGCCTCGCCTTATTGATTAGTGCGCACATCAATGCAATGGAGTCTGTATAGGATGCTAAGAGTGTATAAGGACTTGTGCCCCTCAATGAATTTGTCTGCTCTGTGTGTTCTTTGTAATCGATTTCAATGGCTTGGCGGCAAGGAAGCACATTATGGCTTCCCGTCACAGCGACTGGCAAGCAGTCAGTGCCAGTCAGAGCCAGTCAGGCTGTTGGGCTGTTGGGATGTTGGTCTCTCGGCTTCCAGGCTCACAACAATGAATGGCGCGAACAATGTCTAAATCTTTATTAATTCGACTATTTTCAGAAGCTGTTCGCCTTTGCCAGATCCAGGAGCGAGGTGGAGCAGCGCAAGAAACTCCAGTGCACAGTGGGCTGGAGAGACGACGACGACGACGACGAGGCATCGTCTGTGGACCACTCAACAAATAAATTAATAGCCATCAATCAGTAAATCCGCCAAAGGACCTTTTGCTTTGAATGCAAAGGTTTCGTCTCTGTGCGCACATGTGTGAGTGTATGTGTGTGTGTTTTTAGCCCGATGTACGTGGGTGTGTGTGTGTGTGTGTACTTGTGGGGAACTCTTACAAAGGCGCGCTGTAAACGCGCTCAATGAATGGCTAATATGCCGACTGCACGCGCTCAACAGCTCCCGCCTCCTGCTCCCGGCCCCTGCTGCTCCTGCTCTTACTCCCGTACGAGCTCGCGCTGCTGTGAGGAACTATATGCCTTTCCTGGGGTCAACATACAGGCCTGTACGTGGCAGCAATTACAGTGCAGCATTGATACAGCTCCTCAGTATGTGCCGCAAATCCGATTAAGCTAGCTCAGCTTTAAATGAGCCTGACAGGTGATGAGGGCTTTAGGCAGCCAAACAACTTGAATACCTGTTCCACTTCTTCCTGGAAAGACGGAACACAACAAAAATATACAAATATTTTGGATATATTGTTCTGGTGAAATTTTCGGCCCAAGCGCCCTCAACTCCGGCCAGGAAGTCGTTTTAAACAGTTAGCTCGAATAACGTAAAGTTTTCCTTTTGTCTTAGCTGTTGCGATTTGAACAATTGAGTTGATTTCTTGCTGATCTCCGATGGATCAAGTGAATAGAATTTAAGAGTTAAACGATTGCTGGCTAACGGCGTTTTGACAGTTCAATTTCTTTAAGCGACAGCCCGGGGCCGCATGGCAAATGGCAAATGGCAAGCGGCAAAATGCACAAAACAGGAACATCCACAACAACAACAACAACAATGGCAAACAGCATCTCATAAATCATTTCGCGATGTCTATGTCGAGTATGATGACGACTGGCAATCGGGGCATCTGATTGACTACTGTCAGACGAGCGGACAGACAGTTAGACTGACAGAGAGACAGACAGAGGACAAACCTATAAACCTACAAACATACAAGCAAACAGCTATAGAAGCGGCTGTAAGCATAGACCATATATGATGCTATATGCTATATCATATTCGCATGTGTGTGTGTGTGTGTGTGTGTGTGTTCTAGTACCACGTGCATTTACTGTAAACGAAAGAGACACTGCGAGAAAGAGAGGGCCATAGAATTGATGTCGAGGGCTCAATAGATATGCTGCAGCATTCATATGCACAGTCGCCGTCGCCGTCTCTGCCAGTGATGACTGCGCAGCCAGCAGAGCGTAACAAATGAAATGTGACACATTATGCGACGAGGCGTATAACTGTCTTTCTCTATCTATGTGCCAATGCAGCTGTATGTATATATATTGTATATGTGTGCGTGTGTGTGTTTGTGCGTGTGTATTAAATCAAATCGAAATGACTTTCGTACTCTATCAATGTCGAAATTATGCAATAACTTCAATTGATTACGAGTGCGTGAGTAATTTAGTAAAACCAGCACATGCGTGTGTGTGTGTGTGAGTGTGTATATATCGGCAATCAGTGGCACCCTTGTGCGATACTGGGTCCTATATACGAGGACAGTAAAACGTTTAAAGTGTCATGTTGCGGCCTGTGACGCTTTGCTGCCTCGTTACGCGGCACTTGGTTGCCTTTTCTTACTTTATTATTATTTGCTGTTGCTGTTGTTGTTGTTGTTGCTGCTGCTGTTGCTGTTGCTGTTACTGTTTGCTTTGACAACCCACTTACTTAGATAGACGGGCCACCTGTCCCGTTGTTGTCCTGGCTCCTGTAAGCAAATCGCACGCATCGACATGGCTGAGAGCGAAAACCCTTCAACTTGGCTTGGTCGACGTCTTGCCGCTGCTCCTGCTGCTTCTGGTGCTACCGCTGTTATCTGCCTGCTTAGCTGATGGCTCCTGGTATTTGCCTTGGCTCAGGGCCCGCATGTGTTCGCCATATCCAGTTAAAAGGATAATGGAGCACAACAATTTTTACACGCATATATTTTACAAATATTTGCATTTTTGCCTGGCTGCCTGGCTGCCTGTCAACTGAGCCAACAGGACATGGCCAGGATACCAAAAGGGGCGAGCTTGCCTCGGCTTCGGAGCACATAACTTTGGCGTACCTTTTGCATTGCTTCTTTTCAAGACACATTTGCGTCGTACTTTTTGTTTCCCCTCGGCTTTTAGGCCTGTAAAGTCTCAACTGCACATAAAGGGATTGAGTACGTGAGTGTGTGTGAGCGTGTGCGAGCAAAGGATTTAGTATGTCCTCAGCTAAAGACTGTGCTTTGTAACATATTCACAGTTTCGCCAAGTGCGTGCTACGATCGCATTAAACGCCCTTTATACGCCACTCAATGCGATCGCAGAAATCAGATATGAATTTATATGAAAATATATACAAAAGGATTTATCTGAGAGGAAAATTTTAAAATAAATATCTAAAGATAGATTCACATATATAGTAGTTATTTTATTAATTCTGCTTAGAGCTTATTATGATGCTCAGTAAAAATAATAGCATTTATAAAATTGTTTTGGGTAATAAAAATAATATATACAACTTAACAAAATATGCTGTTTCCATATCATTGTTACTTGGGATTAGTCGTGAGTCCTCCCAGTGACATGAACAGCTCGAGGGCCGCCTTTCGCATGACCTTGCCATTGTTATTGAAGGGCAGCCTTTCAGTGAATCGAACGCCTCCATGCAGCTGCTTATTTATGGTGGGCAGTCGCTTGGCCACATGATTCACAATATCGTCGTGAGTGATGTCGCTGCCTGGCATCTTGACCACCAAGGCGGCGGCCGCATCCATGATTTCCTCAACGGGCACGCCCACGACGCAGACGTCGCGCACCTGCGGCAGCTCTCGGATCACATTCTCGATTTCCGTGGGCCAGAAGTGAATGCCTTTGTATTTAAGAACCTCCTTCTTGCGATCTACTACATGCAGCAGATTGTCGTCACTGAAGTAGCCCAAGTCCCCGGTATGGAGCCAGCCCTCTGGGTCCAATATTTCCATCGTGGCAGTGGGATTGCCATAGTAGCCATTCCATTTGATGGCGGAGCGCACATAGATCTCACCGATCTCATTGTGGCCCAAGCTATTTTCGTTCTCATCCACGATGCGTATGGTCATGCCGGGCATTGGCTTGCCTGCAGCTGATGCTTTCTGGACTCCGGCATTTAGTGTGATCAGTCCCAGCTCTGTCATCGCGTAGGCTGAGTTGAACGTTGCATTGGGGCAGAGCTCCCGCAAGCGTTTTAGAGTCGCATCTGAGGCAATGCTACCGCCATAGTTTAGGTTGCGCAACGAGGATAATGCGCTCTGCGTGGCCTTTGGACAACTGGCTAGAGCTGCCATCTGGGACGGTGCCATGGTTACATAATTGATTTTGTATTTCTGTATCAGCTGGACCATGTTCTCCGGCGAAAAGGGCTTATCCGATAAGATGCGAGTGCTGCCGAATACCACGCAGAACATGAAGGCCCACAGACCAGATATCCAGTCCAGGCCACTCTGTAGAAAGTAAATCGTCTCACTGTTGACAAACCTAAAATATGCAGAATTTTTGATGATGCGATGTGATTTTACAATCACCAATTGTATCCCAGATGCACTTACAAATTATCCTGCATGAGCACACTGTTTGATATGCACACGGCTTTCGGCATTCCCGTTGTACCGGATGAGCACAGAATGGCCACAGTTTGATCGCTGCCAGCTTTCAACGGCTCAGGTCTGTGAATACGATAATCTCAGCTATGCGAATCTATTCACTATTGTTGACTCTTGATTGACACTCACTGGTAGAACTTTTCCGTTGTCGTTGGCTCCAACAGACTCTGTATGCTGGGCTTACCTTCCAGGGGCTCGCTGACCGTATATACCTCAGGACTCCAATCCTTGGTGGCCTCGACAATTTTATCATATTGCTCTTTGTCGCAGAATATTAGCTTTGGCTTGGTTATCTCGAACATGTACTTCACAGTACCTGCACAGCAAATGTTTTTAATTATAAAGGACTCACGTACACGGAATTCACTCACTTTCGTCCAATATCGGATTGATGGCGTGAAACGGAGTGCCATTGAATAGGCAGGCTACGCCCAACGGCATGACATAGGTGGTATTTGCAGCTGCAATTCCAATGACGCTCGTGTGGTCTAG